ATTCGAGAAGCCTACTCTCATCGGACGAGTGGCTCGTTGGAAAATGGTACTGACAAAGTACGACATCCAGTATGTTACGCAGAAGGCTGTCAAGGGAAGTGTGCTCTCTGACTATCTTGCCCCCTAACCTGTGGACGACTACCAATATATGTGCTTCAATTTCCCTGACGAAGACGTCATGTTTGCCAGAGACTATACCATACTTGGCCCAAACGATAGACCCGAACCAAGATCGCGATGGACGCTCATGCTCGATGGTGCCGCAAACGCTAAAGGTTGTGGAATTGGGGCAATCATTACTTCCCCAACTGGATTTCATCTACCATTCACCGCCAGATTGTGCTTCAAGTGTACTAATAATATGGTCGAGTATGAAGCATGTATCTTCGGGATTGAAGCTGCTATTGATAATAGGATCAAGATTCTAGAAGTCTATGGAGATTCTGCGCTTGTCATATGCCAAATTAAAGGAGAATACGAAACACTTGATGTCAAGTTGATTCCTTACAAATATCATGTCTTGAAGCTAATCTCATACTTTGATGAGATCACTTTTCATCACATCCCTAGAGCAGGAAACCAATTGGCAGATGCTCTAGCAACATTAACATCCATGTTCCAAGTCAAGTGGAAGAATGAGGCACCGTCCATCCGTTTAGAGTACCTTGACGAAACTACTTATTGCTTGGCAACCGATTCTGCAGAGCTTAAATTTGATGATCATCCTTGGTTCTACGGTATCAAGTGGTATCTAGAAACACAGGAATATCCAGAAGGCATTACCATCACTGATAAGAAATATCTTAGGAAGCTTTCGTCAAAGTTCTTCCTCAATAGTGATGTGTTATACAAGCGGAATTATGATTCGGTTCTGCTCAGATGCATGGATAGACATGAAGCAGAACATATTATAAACGAAGTGCACGAATGGTCTTTTGGAACACACGCTAGTGGCCACACTATGGTTAAGAAGATCTTGATGGCAGGATATTACTGGATGACAATGGAAACAGACTGTTACCGTCATGTCCAGACATGTCACAAGTGCCAGATTTACACAAACAAAGTTCATGCTTCGCCACTTCCTTTAAATGTGTTGACTTCGCCTTGGCCTTTCGCCATGTGGGGTATAGATGTAATCGTACGTATTGAGCCAACCGCCTCCAACGGACATCGTTTCGTCTTGGTGGCCATTGACTACTTCACCAAATGGGTGGAAGCCGTATCCTACGCCAATGTCACTAAGTAAGTGGTGACTCGCTTCATCAAGAAAGAAATCATATGCCGATATGGGGTTCCGAATAAGATCATTATTGATAATGGTTCGAACCTCAACAATAAAATGATGAACGAGTTGTGTGAAAGCTTCAAGATTGAACACCACAACTCGACACCGTATCGCCCAAAAATGAACGGAGTTGTGGAGGCGGAAAATAAAAACATCAAGAAGATTGTCCAGAAGATGGTAAAAACTTATAAAGACTGGCACGAGATGTTGTCATTTTCCCTACATGGCTATTGCACCTCAATACACACTTCCACAGGGGCAACCCCATTTTCTCTCGTATATGGCATGGAAGCAGTGCTGCCTATTGAAGTAGAGATTCCCTCCCTGACGATTTTAGCAGATGTCAAGCTAGACGAAGCTGAATGGATACAAGCAAGACTCGACCAACTTAATCTCATCGACGAGAAGCACATGATGGCCATCTACCACGATCAACTATACCAAAAGCGATTGAAGAGGGCCTTTGATAAGAACGTTTGCCCATGATACATCAAAGCAGGAGATTTGGTGTTGAGGAAAATTCAGCCATCTCACGTTGATCCAAGGGGTAAATGGGCACCGAACTATGAGGGTCCATATATAGTGAAAAAGGTTTTCTTCGAAGGAGCCTTGATTCTCTCAACCATGGACAGTGAGGATCTTCCATCCCCTATGACTTCAGATGCAGTTAAAAAATATTATGCTTAAAAGATAGACCCGGTTAACCAAAAGAAAATCCACGCAAAAATAGGTGTCTTGGTGGACTATAAAAAGAAAAAGGTCTAGGCAAAAAAAATTAGGGACTAAATTAAAAGAAATATCTCGGTAGGCTAAAAACCCGAAAGGGATGCCTAGGCAAAAGTTAGGGATTCAGAAGGGTAAACTGCATCCTGAAAAGACATACGAACGTTCCTCCATGATTATTGAGCTCTGACTGAGAGAGATCAATTCAATTGTTGCGTTCATAATCAAGGCATGGAGGGTTTTTAGAGATATATGGGTCATAACAGAACTGAAACTCGACAGAAACCGATTTCAACATTGCCGTTGTATGTTATTGTTCTTTCAAAAGCAATTACCTCTTTCTAGGAATTACCTCCTTTTGTAATTTTCCTGTTTATGGGTTTTCATCAATAAAAATTACTTTCATATGTCGCAACTGCGAAAAAGGGTTGGCGGAAACAAACAGAAGATTCGCCACCGAATGTTATTTATCCTAAAGAGAGGGAAAGGAAACGATCAAAGAAAACCTAAAAGAACGGGAAAGACAAGGTCATCGTAACCAAATATTGGGTTCGGGAGTCGGTTACACAAGGGGAAGGTATGAGCACCCCTCACGTCCGTTGTACTCAACGGGATCCATGCTTGTTGTCTAATCTATAGGTGAGAGCTATCAAAAGCTAATGCTAAATGGGGGTAAAGAGAAAGAACAAACTCGATAGGACATCGCCTCCCTATACCTACGTACTCCCTTGTGCAATGGGAAAGTCAGAGTCAACGTAGTTTGGGAAACTACAGGTGATGGAGGAAAGGTTGCTCGCCAAGACATCGCCGTCTTGTGCCTACGTATCCTCGTCTGGTAGCAAACGTAGTTCGAGAAATTATAGATGAAAGGTTGGTTAAATGTTTCTTACGAGTGACGTTAAGTCTCCATTCTAGCAAATAGGGGCGATGCCTGTTTGCGGTAGAACGGAAAAGTAACATACTCTTTTCTAAAAATGAAGTTTGAAAGCAATCCCGAAGGATAAAAGGTTTGAGTTTTGTTTGTGAGTTTTAGTGAATTGGACTGAGTTAGTTTGAGACTCACGTCGCACTAAAGACTATGACATGGGGGCGAATTGGACTTAAGTTAGTTTGAGACTAACTTAATCGGAAATTAATTCGGGCTAGGAATCCTACGGGATCATGCGAATACAAGAGGTAAACAGCGAGTAAACATGAAGCGACGCAATCACGAACAACATCAGATATTAAAATATGTACAAGTGTTAGAAAAATATTCATAAATGCGTTAATAGAAAATAAAAAATTAATCAAAAGTCTAAACCTATGTTAATTTAAAAGTTAATTTCTAAATAAAACTAAACCTAATTCTAATTCTAAAATAATCCTAAATTAAATTATAGTCTAATCATAAATTAAAATCTAAATAGAAACCTAAATCCTAAACTTAATTAAATTAAGTTCTAATCTAAAATTAATTAAAAAAACTAATCCTAAATTAAAATGGACAAAATCTAAATTAATCTAAATTAAAAATAAATCTAATTAATTCTAAAATTAAACATATTATTAAAATAAACCTAAACTAATCTAAATTGAAATTCTAAGTTAACAATACTAACTCTAAAATTATTTAATTAAGACTAATCCTAATAATATAACCTAATACTAAAATGATATTCTAATTAAAATTAAACCTAACCTAAATCCTAAATTAATTAATTAAGACTAATCATAGTAGTATAACCTAATACTAGTTAACTAATTTAAACTAAAAAAATGCTAAAAAAAACTAATTTAATCCAAATTAAATGCTGAAAACAAACTAATTAAACTCTCTCTCTCTCTCCCAACGGATCTTCTCTCCACGCGTTTTCCCTGCTCCACGCCTGTCCCTCTCTTCTTCCAACACGTTCCTTTTCTCTTCTCTCCCCCATGCGTTTCTTTTTCTTTCTTGCAAACTCTCGCCTTTTTCCAACGAAAAGGTTCTTCCTTCTCCCAAATCCTTTTTTTTCTTCTGATGTTTCTCTTCCCAATGACTTCTTAACTCTTTTCTCTTCTCCCAATCCTTTAAAATTTTCTCATATTTCTTAACTCTTTTTCTTTTTCTCACGACATATCCTCTCTTCTCCTGAAACAATTCCTCCAAATCCCCTCTTCTTCTCTCACGGAATATCCATCCCTTCTCAAACGACTCTCTTCCTATCTAAAAAAACGAAGAAAAAAGATAACACTAAAACCCTCTCCTTCCTCAAATGACTCTTCTTTCTCCAAAAGAATAAATGAAACCATCATCCTCCCTCAGCTTCAAAGAAAGTCAACGAAAACCTCATTCTCCCTCAACTTCAAAGAAAACTCGAACGGAAATCTCACCCTCCCTCAACCTCATAAACTCAACGAAAACCTCACCAAAAACGAGTTATGGGTTCCTCACGAACCCTAACCCTAAGTGAAAGAAATGTAAACCTAATGAAGAACCCTAAATGTAAGTGAAAGAACCCAAACGGACAGAAATGCAACCACACATATATGAAAGTTAAGTGGTTACCTCCTCTGACGTATTTTCACTGTTTTCTTCGAAATCTTCCTCTTTTCTCCCTTTTAAACCCTTTTAATTTTTTTCGTGTTCTTCTTCTGCAAGTATTTGGTGAAAGGAGTTCTAGGGTTTTTTCAAGGATTTGCGTGTGCGGCGACCTCTATAGATTTCTATGGTTCCATCAAGGATTTTAGAAGCTTGCTTTTATACTAGTGAAATTAGGGTTTTGGATCTGAATCTTGTTTGAAGAATCTCCACTTTCAGCTATGTCTGCAAGTCACTTTTTATGCTTTGAATTTTGTTTCCCTCTTTTCATGTTTCGGTTTTTGTTTTTACTGTCCATGAGTTTTCAATGATGTTGTCCTTATTTTTGGTTTGCATGTTGCAACAAGGTCCTTTTGGGGAAAGTTTGGTACAAAGTGATGTTTGGTCTCAGATTCACTACACACCACTCAAAACGATGCACTTAGAAGGTCATATTTTTGGGGCTTTGTCGGTTGCTGCATAAAGTCCATCCGAGTACTCCATAATAGTTGAAAGAAAGTTAAATTCCACTTCAAACACCAGAAAGCATCCACAGAAGTAAAAACCAAGGAATGGCAGAACATCGGTTGCAATATTATCGATACATAAAGTCAAACTTGAAGATTCCTCAGTCGCGGAAGTTGCTTTTTTGCAAAGGGTTGTACTATCATACCATGCCAAACAAACTGCTGAACTTAATATAATATCCACTGGTAAATCTAAATCACATTCAACAACTCGAATTCCCCTTTTCTCCAACACAAGAATTACTTGGTAAGAGCTTCTTTTGGACACTATCATTTCCTTATCTACATTTTGAGTATTGAAAATGATAACTGATCCAGTAAAAGACTCTAAGCTTTGATGGTAATTCTCAGTTTTCACAGCCAGAATTAGAGGCATAAAATTGTCCGTTTCAAGTGCAACCCTTGAAGATTTTATATCATGGTTGTGTTCCGTAGGATAAAAGTTCATTAGTCTCTCTAATTTTCGATTCACCATACTTTCCTTGTGATTGAAAATAAGAGGACTCTCAGTTTCCGGGAACATTTCAGTGTACAGGGGCAACTCAACACCTTGACAGAGTGCTTCGAGAACGGCATGGTCATTCAATTCAACCGTCAAAAAATGAAGATTAGGCAATCCAATTGAATTTGATGAAAATTCAGATATTCTCATTTGGACCGCCATATTCCAAGATAATGCCAAATATGTTGAATAGAAATAATGGAGAAACATGCTTGTATGAAACCAGCAAGCAGTCTGAACTTAGAAGTTCCATCATTTTAGTATCAGATTCCTCAGGCATATTATTCGCATATGACTGATTTCTGTAAGTGTTATTTAACTCACCAAATGATAACCTCAGGGAGAGAAGAAGAATTTTTAAAGGCCACCAGAATACTTCTTCAGCCACAATTAAAGCTTTCAAACAATCTTGTTTGATGTTAGCCTGTAAAATTTCCTTGACAATTGTTAGCGATGAGTGTGCAATAATATTGTTTTCCATCTTCCTGTTTTCATCTTTGATCAAAGCTTGGAGGGTGCCTAATCTTGATTTCAAGTAGCCCATGTTTTGACATAGTTTTTCTTTTTGGTTTATGAAATTTATTTGACATTTAGTGTTGTGATGGCTGAATTTTTGAGTTGTAATGAAGTGCAGAACTGTGCAGTTTGTAGAGGCTTGGACCACTTATAAAAACAAATGGAATAATAAAAAGGTTTATGATGGATTTACAAAATGATTTAATTGGACTAACACTAGAAAATGGATACCAAAGTGGTTATTTAAAAATGGATAATGACAATTAGGTAAAATAATAAATAAAAAGTTTGTGGACTAATGGTTATGGATTGATGAAAATAGATATGGAAATGGATAAGAAAAGAAAATGGTATGAATATGGTTTTAAAGTGGATGAATGGGTTTAGAAAGGAAATGGATATCCAAATTCATAAGTGGATCAAAACTTAAATGGATTTGGTTAATGAAATGGATTTTAAAACGGATTGGAAAAATGGATAAATGATTAATTGGATTAAATGAAAGAAAATGGTTTAAACAAATGAACTTTTTAAGAATGGATCTAAAGATGGACAAAAAGGTTATTGGAAATTGAAAAAAAAAGATTATGAATACGGTTTAGAAAATGGATAACCAAAATGAATCTGAAACCAATCCCAAACTCTTTTACCAGCACATGATAAAACACGCAACGCAGTTACCACTGAACCAACCACAGCTAAAACAACGACCGCCACCTCTAATTTCTTGAATCTCAGATCAACAAGTTCTGAATCAATTCAAATTTGACTGAATCAATCTCTGGGAGAATAAACTCACAAATAAAACAAACTGAACCTACGATCACAGTGATCCTGACTTCTGAACCAAACTCTTCATTAATCACTACTTGAAAAACTTATAACCTCCACACATGATAACAAATTGGTCTTGAATAGACAATGCCCGAGAAATAGCCACTGATGCGGCAACTTGGCACAAAAACAAACTCTTTATGGTTTGACCAAAATGAGGTCAAACTTCTATCTGATCTTGATCGTGATTGAATAACCGTACTCGACTTGAACCAACTGGCCATAAGCTTGCCAACCAAATTGGAACCAAAAACTGATGAAACCCTAGGCCCTTGATGTCTGACAACTCTTGAAGAAAGTAAGCTTGATACTTGATGATTCGATCCAGAGAAAACTCCTAATCCCATGTCTTAGAAGACCAAATCGAAATATGATTATGAACTATACTCAGCGAGATGCAGATGAAAGTGAAGCAAATCCAGTTAAAGTCAGAAAAATTAAGGCAAATTTTGGGGTGCTACAGCTTCCCCTATTCAATCGACTTGGACCTGAAGGTATGAAAAGCAACCTCTTTCAAACATTCAAGGTAAAAGGTGATTGAATACTAAAAGAACCCAGAAATTTGCACACCGCGGGGATGCAGAGTAAAACTTGCCAGCCGAAAATGGACTTAAAAGCAACGGGTACCAACCAAAAGTTGGGATAACCGAAACGGTAACTAACCAAAATGATAACAAGGACTACTAACCAAAAGTCAGGATCTCTAAGGAATTGTATTCGAAAGTTATGAGGAAGAGGCTACTAACCAAAAGTTAGGATCACCCAGAGAATTACCAACCAAATTTCGGAGTAAAAACTTCTAACCAAAAGTTAGGATCGCCCAAAAAGATTAATAACCAAAAGTCAGAGTAAAAGCTACTAACTAAAATTTAGGATCGCCATGAAACGATTATCATCGACCAAAAGTCAGAATAAAAGCTACTAACAAAAAGTTAGGATCGTCACGAAAAGATTATCATCGACCAAAATTCAGAACAAAAGCTACTAACCAAAAGTTAGGATCGCCAAGAAAAGATTACCAACCAAAAGTCAGAATAAAAGCTACTAACCAAAAGTTAGGATCGCCAAGAAAAGAATAGCAACCAAAAGTCGGAATGAAAGCTACTAACAAAAAGTTAGGATCACCAAGAAAAGATTACCAAACAAAAGTCAGAATGAAAGCTACTAACCAAAAGTTAGGATCGCCAAGAAACAACAGACTACCAACCAAAACTCGGGATAACATCCACAAAACGACGGACTACCAACCAAAAGTTGGGATAACATCCACAAAATGACGGACTACCAACCAAAAGTTGGGATAACGTCAACAAAACGAAGGACTACCAACCAAAAGTTGGGATAGCATCCACAAAATGACAAACTACCAACCAAAAGTTGGGATAGCATCCACAAAATGAAGGACTACCAACCAAAAGTTAGGATAGCATCCACAAAACGAAGGACTACCAACCAAAAGTTGGGATAGCATCCAGGATAGGCAGGAAATACAATCGGCCGATTTACAAACTAAAAAGAGAACTCCGCTGGGGAAAGAGAAACTTAAACAAGCAAACTCTGTTGGGGAGCAAAAGCAACATGAAAACATCCACCAATGATTTTGCTAAGGTCTGGTACCATAAAGGCTTATGAATTATGTCGTTATCTGCTGAAGAGATGTCAGGCAACAAAAGTATCAAACCTGGCTTATGCTTTGCATGCGTATGTTTGAATATGGCGTAATGCTCCATACGAAATGGAAATGCTACACGTTTGGGAGGATGCTATACGAATGCAGAGGAACACCACCAAGAAAAGGTGCCGAGAGAAACGGCAAGAAAACTCTGCTGATGAATGTGCCCTGGACGGCTTTCCTGAACATAACTCCACTGGGGACAATTCTATTCTGCTGGGAATTGAGAATAACATCTATTCGGAAATTTCCCCCCAAAGATCTTACTTTGAAGAATACCAATAACCATTGGGCCCTGCTGCGAAGGTCTACCATTTCTGATTTAGTCGCTGAGGGAATCAACATTAGTCTCTGCTTGGGGAGAAAAGTCAATGACATAGATCCTGTCGGGGAACAACACTGAGCCTACCCTACCGTTGGGGGATAACCTCAATCTTACCATGCTGGGGATAAGTGCAAACTATTGCTGGCGAAATATTTCTGATCCAACATCAGTATTTTGTAGGGAAACAATATCTTTATTATGGAGAAGTGAGATCAATCGAGCCTCGTGTCGGGGAATGTGATAGCATGCAAGCCACTGAGAATACAGTTAGGATTTTGGTTTAGGCATGGGACCAAATTTATGGTGATTGGGATTTTTATGGATTTATTCTTGGTTACCAATGCAATTGGACTTTGAAGGGGAAATACCAGACGAGAACTGGTATTCAAATGGGAGACTACCAAACGAGAACTGGTGGCAAAAGGTTAAGTTGTTAGACGAGAACTGACTTCTGGTTTGCCGGATGAGAACTGGACTTTGAAACTGTGTATGCCAGACGAGAACTAGTTAAATAGTTGGCAAAAGAATGGGTGACCAGACAAGAACTGGTTTAGAAGCTGACATGTACCAGACGGGACTTGGTACTCAATGAAGGGTTGACCAAACAACAACCGGTTTGAAAGTTGGCCAGACAAGAGCTGGAGTTTGGAATTTATTTCAGTTACAAAGTTCTGACAGGTATCAGGCTCAGGCTATGGGATATGGATCCAATGACAGCATGCAAGGATAAGAATATTCCCAACAATGGAAGGGGTCATTTGAATCAAGGATTTTTAGAAGGATAAGATTATTTGATGGGATGATGGCACGATTCCCCGACACTTGTCTTGAACTCAACAATTGTTGACGGAAATGAACTCACTCTGAATAACTTGCCCTACTGTAGTTCAACTTGCCCCAGTCTAATCCTTGGGAAAGTTCATCTTGAAAAGAAAGTAGCTTGCCATGAGACGACCTCGAGATGGCTTACCCCAGAATTTGTACCATGAAAGGATTCATCCTTAATTAAACAACTCTCATAGTGATTAGCTTCAATGTACTCTTGAAGTAGTTTGTCCCTGAATGAGCGTTGGAGCGACTTAACTTGTCCTGACTGAACACTAAAGGGGTTTGCCCTCAAATTAAAGAAACTCTGGGTGGCCTGCCCCTGATCAGTATTCTCGAGATGATTCACTTCTGATCAACCGGTTCTTGAATGACTTGTTCCATAATCAGCCGATGTTTAGGGATTTGCCTCAGACTGACTGATTCGATACTCATTGGATGTCAATGCCCCAGATCCATAGGGCTACAAAGTATACTCGATTCTGATCTAGACTGCTGAATGATCTAGTGCTGTTTGATTACTCCTTGTTGGGATTTCCTCGATACCATCTACTGACTTGCAATTAAAATTGTTTGTTCACGAATGGTAATTTTAATCGATGCTCATGCAGATCTTGAAAAATCGATCATTATTAGAATGATGTAATAGTGTGTAAGGAATGGACTAATAGTCCAGACGCAGTGCTGATTTAGCTAGTGAAAGATACGTAAGAATATGATTAACAAATCATGTAGGAGTCAGTTTACTCAACCTTGTTGTAGTATGCCTTCAGAATAAACCCTGCCTCAATTAGGTCTTTT